AATCTGGTGGTTCAAACCCACCAGCCACTCCTCAGAAGGAAGACGGGGCAATCTACTTCCGTAGTGATACTGCCTCGGAAACCCAAGGAGGGGTCGCTAGGAATCAGATCCAACTCGTCAGCAGTGAGTTTGGTTCTTGGTATATTACGCAACACAAAGCTCTCAGAACTGAAAAAGTTATTCAACTTTAAACTTATTACAAAAGCTGCAATAGATAATACCCAAGTTTTCACTGCGATGGGCTTATATTTAGTTATAAAGCAGTTCAGAGGTAAAAGAGACAGAAGGGTAGAAACCTAGTCCTTAATGACAAACACAAATGTGACCTCTTGGGAGAAGCAAGCAAGCAGGTGTCCGCAAACACAGAACAACACAGTGTCCAGAGGACGCTGGAACCTAGACACCTGGCCCTGGGGGTAGCAGAGTTTAAGAAGGAAGAAAATGAACAGGAATGTCTAAACTCAACCAACCCTGACCCCACTGCCATCTGTAGCCAGGCCTTAAGAAGTCAGGGTGTACACAGAGTGAAAAAAGGGAAAAACAAAGAATGGGCTAGAGAAGACAATGCAGGAAATGAGAGCAGGAAAAATACTGTTGTTGATGTTGTTGTTAACTGTCACTGAGTCAACCCCCAACTCACAACAATCCCATCTACAACAGAACAAAACCTTGCCCAGTCCTGCACCCTCCCCACAACTGGTCACAGACCTGACCAGGGTGATCCACCAGGTGTTCATTGTCTGATTTTTTAGAAGTAGATAATCAGGTCTTCCTTCCTGATCCATCTTAGTCTGGAAGCACTGATGAAATTATTAGGTGTGGGAATCATCATGAAATAGAATCTGGCTTTTCTGCAACACCAGCTTCAAGTTATTCAGAAAGACTAAAGTCAGTCCACAAAAATGAATTAGAAGGAAAGGAAAAGTCAGACAAGAGAAGAGAATGGAAGGCAAAGAGAAAAACTCACCACTAAAAGTATCTAAAAGTTAGAAAGTAGTCTTAGTCCTCAGGAGGAACAAAACTAAAAAGTAAGCTCACATTAACACAGAATTCCTGCAGACCAGTGATCCACAATATTTAATTCTTTTTCTAATCATGTTGTTGCTGTTGTGTTAGCAGTGGTGCTCTTTTATTTTTCCCAAACAAAATCTTACATGAAAGGTCAACATGCAGATGAGATAAAAATACACCTGTTATTGATTTGGGTGAAGGGAAGGGCAATCAATGTACCAAATGTGAGTGATCAACACTGTAGCAGTGAGGAAGAGGAAGACATAGAGAGATGCATGGGAGGTACAGACAGCAAAGATGAAGCCTTTTGCACATACAGTACTGCACTGTCAGTGAAGGCAAACACGGATCTATGGGTGGACAGATGGGTGGACAGGCTGAACTATTAGGTATGTCTATGCAGGGAGGAATGTGCCCATGACCATGTATAGGGTTGGCA